ATTCGACGGCACTTAACAACATTTCCACTTCACAGACAGGGAAACTGAGGTATAGGGAGTATTAGTCATTTGTCCAAAGCCCAAAAGGTCACAGTGGAGATCTGAGCCCAGCAATTTTGGCTGGACAGTAGACACTGTTGAACACTTTGTTGTTGTTAAGAACTGTCAAGTCAGTTCCAACTCACAGTGACCCTGTATAGAATTTCCAAGGAGCAGCTGGTAGGTTTGAACCACTGACCTTGTGGTTCCCAGCCCTGTGCTGTTCCTGCAGTGCCACTCCAGGACTGCACTTGAGCACTGGCCTTTCCTGAGTCCCACTGAGGGCCGGACACAGTGGCCACAGCAGTGACCATAGGGTGGGGGGTAACGGCGAGGGGGTGGTCTTCTGGGAAGAGACATGGAGAATTTAGGTCTCCTGATCTCTGTCCTCTCCACAGGTGCATCCCAGCCCCGCGCCTCAGGTCCCCCCCCAGGCCGCGTGAGCTCTGAGCTGAAGACCAAGCAGGAGATCCTGAAGCAGCGGCGCCGGGCCCAGAAGATGCGCTTCCTGCAGCGTGGGGGCCTCAAGCAGCTCTCAGCCCGCAACCGCCACCGGGCCCAGGAGCTGCGGCGCGGCGCCTTCGGCCGGGGGCCCCACTCCAAGAAGGGCAAGTTGAGGAAGAAGATGTAAGGACTGGGACCAGCCCTAGCCCTATGGCCTGGCCCCACGCCTGAGGTGTCTACCTCCACAGGAGGGCTATTTCAGCTGGGTCTTAAAGGGTGCCTAGGAGTTTGCCAGCAAAACTGGGCAGGCCAGGCCCTGAATTGGCCCCTTGACCACTGCTAAGGCTTCAGTGTGTGCTGGATTTCAGAGCCGTGGCCTAGACCCAGGGATGTATTTTTAACAGAATAAACCTTTATTGAGCACCTGCGGTGGAGCGGAGCGGAGGCTGCAGTCGGTGAATTGTGAACACTCTGAGGGCCCCGCCAGATGAGATCTGTTGATGTCTCCATTTTGCAGATGAGGAAACTGAGGGGCTGAGGTTGCCTTGGTGACTCTTCTATGGGAGAGTTTGTTGTTTGGAGACTGCAGACTAAGAGAGGACAGGATACAAGGGCCTGGGGTCAGAGGGTACAGCAGTTCCCCTCTGGTCAGCCTGAACCTGTGCCCACCACACCTTGAAGCCAGAGCCAGCCCTGGCGTCTTTCTTGGCCCACCAGCCTACTCTAAGATCCCCAGCGGTATGTTTGGGGTCCTGAGAAGGTCATAGGCAGCCTCCAGCACAACCCAGCACAGGGTCTGTAGCCTGGGTCCATGGTGGAGTGGCCTTCTGGGCAGGCTGCAGGCCAGGCCACCTGGTAGATGTGGGACCTGCAGAGACTAGTGCCCCAAGTGTAGCCCTGGCATCACATGTCTTGAGTACTGGCTGTGTGCCAGGGTTGTCTTAGCACCCCATACCATGAGGGGATGAGTTTTGGGAAAGCTACACACCCCAGGCCCTACAGCACCCCCCCTCCCCCCCACTCACCTGTGTCAGGGTTCAGTCTGATGGAGGCTGGCCAGAATGCTGGAGAGATCTTGGATGAACACCTTCACCTGGGGGACCAACGGTTCCAACTCAGAGTGACCCTGAATAGGGTTTCTGAGGCTGTAAATCTTTACGAGAACAATAAACCTCATCTTTTTCCCTCAAAGTGGCCAGTGGGTTCGAACTGCCAACCTTGTGGTTAGTCCAGTGTTTGTCCTACCGTGTCACCAGGGCTCCTCTGTTAAAAGAGGCAGCAGGGAGGCCCCAGCCTGTTTCCTCCGGCCTAGCCTCGGGTCTCACTCCGGTAGTGTTGCCTATCCTAAAGGGAATTCATCATTGCCACCTGGGCACTTTTTCTTCCAGTTAATTCACTCCTGTTAATTTAGGACCTAACATCTGTGTCGGCTCTCCTTTATTTTGTTTAATTAGCTTATTTATTTATACAAATTTTGGAACACTGGATCCACTGCCAAGAACAAGAACTTGACAGGTAATTTACAACTCTAGATGCTTTTCCCCTCTTCATTGTATTTGTTACTTAAATAAACATCTGAGAAGGAAACTTTGTCTCTACCAATAATGGTAACAATAAAGGTAACACTTTCCTTGTAGGGGGAGAACTGGAGAAATAATGTAGTGAAAACAAGGTTGTAAGAGGCCCATGTGCACAACAGAGTGAAACACTGCCTGGTTCTTCACCAGCCTCACAATTGTTAGGCTTGAACCCAGTGCTGCTGCCACTATCGATCCACCTCATGGGGGGTGGGGGTCTTCCTCTTTTTCACAGACCTTCCACTTTACCAGGTACAAGCATGATGTCCTGCAGGGATCGGTCCCTCTTGACAACCTGTCTAAAGTAGGATGTTTTAAGTCCTCTAAAGAGCCTTCTGATTGTTCTTCCAACACAGATTTGTTCTGGCTGTCTATGTAGTCTTTACCAAACGAAATTCAAATGCATCGATTCTTCTACAGTCTTCCTTATTCATTGTCCAACTTTCACATGCATATGAGGCTATTGAAAATACCATGGCTTGGGTCAGGCACACCTTAGTCCTCAAACTGACCTCTTTGCTCTTGAACACTTTAAAAAAGTCTTGTGCAGCCATTTTGATTTCTTGACTGCTGCTTCCATGAGTGTTGATTATGGATCCAAGCCAACTGAAGTCTTTGGCAATTTCAATCTTTTCTCCATTTATCACGATACTGGTCCAGTGGTGAGAATTTTTGTTTTCTTTACATTGAAGTGCAATCCATACAGAAAGGGTGTGGTCTTTGATCTTCTCACGTAAGCATTTTAAATCCTCTTCATTCCCAGCAAACAGGATGTATCATCATCATATCATAGGTTAATGACTCTTCCTCCAGCCCCAATGCCACATTCTTCTTAATATAACCCAGTTTCTTGGATTATTTGTTCAGCATACAAACTAAATTAAGTACGGTGGAAGGACATAGCTTCGGCGCACACCTTCCTGATTTTAAACCATTCAGTAGTATCCTCTTGTGAACTGCCTCTTAGTCTATGTATAGATTCTTCATGAGCACATTTTAAGTGTTCTGGAGCTCCCATTCTTTACTATGTTATCCCTAGCTTGTCATGATCCACACAGTTGAAAGTCTGCATAGTAAATACAGCACAAGTGATATTCTCTGCTTTCACCCACGATCCATCTGACATCAGCAATGACTTTCCTCATTCCACATTCTTTTCTGAATCCAGCTTGAATTTCTGGCAGTTCCTTGCAGATACACTGTGGCAGCCATTTTTGAATTGTCTTCAGCAATATTTTACTTAGATGTAATATTAATGATGTCGTTCAGTGATTTCCGCATTCCTTTGGGTCAGCTCTCTGGAATGGCCACAAATACAGGCCTTTTCCAATCAGTTGGCCAGGTAGCTGTCTTCCAAATTTCTAGTATAAATGAATGAGCACCTCCAGTGTTTCACCAGTTTGTTGAAACATTTCAATTTGCATTCCATCAGTTCCTGGAACTTGGTTTTTTGCCAGTGTTTTCAGTGCAGCATGAACTTCAGTACCATCAGTTCTTGATCATATGGTACCTCTTGAGGTGGTTGAACATCATCCATTTCTTTTTGGTACAGTTATTGTATACCTCACATCTTCTTTTGATGCTTTCTGCCTTATTTAATGCTTTGTTCATGTTGTTGTTGTTATGTGCCGTGGTGTCGGTTCTGACTCATAGCGAACCTGTACAGGGTTTCCAAGGCTGCAAATCTTTACGGAAGCAGAAAGCCACCACCTCTTTCTCCAATTTCAAGTTGAGGCTTGAATTTTTTCTTCAGTTCTTTCAACTTGAGAAATGCTGAGTGTGTTTTTCCCTTTCGTTTTCTAACTCCAAGTCTTTGCACATTTCATTCTAATACTTGACTTTGTCTTCTCGAGCTGCCCTTTGAAACTTTTTGTTAAAGCTTTTTTACTTCATCATTTCTTCCATTCACTTTGGCAACTCTACACTGGAAAACAAGTTTCAGAGTCTCTTCTGACATCCATTTTAGTCTTTTCTTCCCTGTCTTTTTAATGCCCTTTTGTGCTTTCTTCTGGTATGATCTTGATGGCATCCCACCGCTCTTTTGGTCTTGTCATTCATGTCGAATTCATCAAATATGTTCTTAAGATGCTTTCTAAATTCAGGGGGATATATTTAAGGCCATATTTTGGTTCTCTTTGACTTGTTTTAATTTTCTTCAACTGAAGCATGAACTTGCATATGAGCAATTGATGGTCTAGTCCACAGTTAGGCCCTGGCCTTGTTTTGGCTGATGATACGGAGCTTTTCCACTATCTTTTTCCACCAATGAAGTCACTTTAATTCTTGCACATTCCACCTGGTTAAGTTCATGTGTATAGTTGCCTTTTATGTTATTAAAAAAGGTATTTGCAGTGAATTAAGTCATTGGTCTTGCAAATTTCTACTATGCGATCTCTGCATAATTTCTGTCACCAAGACCATTATTTTCCAACTATTGATCCTTTCTCTTTGCAACTTTCACATTGCAATCACCAGCAATTGCCAATATATCTTGATTACATGTTTGATCAACTTCAGACTAAAGAGGTTGGTGGTGGTTGTTAAGTGCTGTCGAGTTGGTTCTGACCCATAGCCACCCGATACAAGCGTTTCCCAGGAGCAGCTATTGAGCTTGAACTGCCGACTTTACAGTTAAAACTTAGCTTTGCAGTCTGGCACATTAACCCACAGCACCACACCAGGACTCCAGAAAGGTTGGTAGACTTCTTCAATTTCATCATCGCTGACTTTAGTGGTTGGTTTGTAAATTTGAATAGTAGTGGTATTAACTGTCTTCCTTGTAGGAATATGGATATTATCCTATCACAGACAGCATTGTACTTCAAGACAGATCTTGAAATGTCCTGTTTGATGATGAATGTGATATTATTTCTGTTGAATTTGTTCCCACCATAGTAAACTATATGATTGTCAGATTCAAAATGGCAGTCCCAGTCCATTTCAGCTAAGTAATGCCTAGGATATCAATGTTTATGCGTTCCATTTGCTTTTTGACACCTTCCATATGGGCTAATGCATCAGACTGCAGAATCGTTTAAACTGCAAGGTCGGTGGTTCAAGCTCAGCAGCTGCTCCTTGGAAACCCTATACAGGGTCTCTATTGGTCGGAATTGACGTGATGGCACTTCACAACAATTTTCCTAAATTCATACTTAATACATTTCCTGTTCTCATTATTAATGAATGTCTGTTTCTTGGAGTGGCACTGTAGGATAAGTACTGGACTGCAAAGTTGGTTTGAAGTGCAAGATCAGTGATTCAAATCCACCAGTCACTCCTCGGAAACCCTATACAGGGTCACTGTAAGTCGAAACTGACTCCGTGGCACTAAACAAGAACACCAGCAGCTGTTTCTCCTCATTTTGAGTTGTGCTCCATCAATAAATGAAGTCCTGAAAGCTTACTCCATTTTCATCACTGTCAACTGTACTCTGAGGAAACAGCTCTTCCCCAGTTGTATTTTAAGTGCCTCCAATCCTGCAGGGCCGGGGGAGGCTCATCTTCCAGGGCTAGACCTGATAATGCTCTACTGCTATTCATGATTTATTATCTTCTGACCCTATATCTGGCACGGTTCCACTGCTATTAGGGATTTCAATGGGTAAACATTCAGAAGTCGTCTTAGTTTGGAAGCTCCGCTGAAACTTGTCCACCATGGGTGACCTTGTTATTTAACATATTTAACATAAATAACATATAACATATGTTATTTAACATTTAACAGGGGACCTTGTTTAACATTTAACATAAATAACAGATAACATGTTATTTAACATATTTAACAGGTGACCCTGTTATTTAACATATTTAACATAAATAACATATTTAACAGGTGACCCTGTTATTTAACATATTTAACATACAACATATTTAACAGGTGACCCTGTTATTTAACATATTTAACACAAATAACATATATGTCATTTAACATATTTAACAGGTGACCCTGTTGTTAGTTAAGCTATGGTGGCATAGCTTCCAGTATCACGGCCACACGCGAGCCACCACAGTATAACAAACTGACAGACAAATGGTAGAATGAAAATAATGCTATTACGGAATTGCAGCCACCTGGCTGGAAGGTGTGAGACCCAGGCCTGGAGATAAAACATTTAGCTACTAACAACAACATCTGTGGTTCAAACCCATCAGCTCCTCTAGGAGAAAGAAGAAAGCTATATGCACCTGTGAAATTTACAGTCTGGGAAACCCAATAGGTCAGAATTGACTCCACAGCACCTAACAGTAGAAACAACAAAGGCATATTGACTCCTGTCAGTTTGTCATGCTGTAGGGTCTTGTCTGTCGCTGTTATTGCTGGAAGCTATGCCCCTACTATTCCAAATAGAAGGGTTACCTGTAGTGGACAGGTTTCAGTGGTACTTCAAGGCTAAGACTTAGAAGAAAAGCCTGGCAATTTACTTCTGAAAATCAGCCATTGGAAACCCTATGGATCATAACGGAGTATTGTCCAACTCAATTGCTTTGGATATATGCTGGGAGTGAGTGGTTCAGGGATTAATTTAAAAAGCAACTCCCCTAGTTTCTTATAAATGCTGCTACTTGTTTGAGCTATGGATGTAGGGAGGAAATGGGGGCTCATGGCCCCACACCAGGGAGAGCAACGAGTCCCAGAGAGCCGATGTCACCTTCCTTCAGACCACAGGTCACTCACTGCATCACCATCAGAATTAAGACTGGAACTCAGAACTCCCCAGCCATGCTTAACCGGGAGAAGGTGCCGCTCAAGGTGGGATTTCCAGTACCACGATGTTTCTGATACGGACGTGTTAAGGGGCTGGAGGTGACACACAGGGACCCTCACCTGCTCCAGCTGACCCTCAGTGTCCTCCAGGTCCAGGGCAGGGGGCTGCTTCTGGTGCTGGCTTACCACCTGGAACAAACTGAGTGCTGCCATCCTGGCCCTTCCCAAGAGCAGGGTTTTCTCTGCTGCTGTGTTCTGGATCTGAATCCACTTGGATTCCTAGTGAAAAGCCCCGGTCCTGACTGAGGATTGAGCTAGCATCAGGAGGGCCAGCACTTCATCCCCACCCACTTTACGCCCAGTCAGACGCAGGCTGGTTCTGATTGGACCCGCCTTCTGTGCCGCTGCCCCTACCCGCCCCCTGTTAGCATCACTCCTCGCATTCCATTGCCAGGTGAGCCTGAGGGTCGCCTATCCGCGTTGGCAGCCCTACCCAGTGCAGGGTCCGTTCTTGGGCCTGTTCCAGGCGCTCCTGCAGCTGCGCACGCTGCTGGCTTTGCCGCAGCACCTCGTCCTGCCAGGTGTCCCGCAGTCGCTGCAACCTTGCCCGCGCCGCCTCCAGCTCCGCCAGCTGCTCACGCTCCGTGCGCCTCAGCACCGCCTGCGTGTCTGCCAGGCCATCGAAGCGCGCCACCAGTTCGGTGACCTCCTGGAACTGGGGTGGTGGAGATCAGAAAGGAGCTCACAGGGAGGCAGGAACCTGTGAATTCGAACATCCTGCCCTCCCCAATGTCACGTGGCCCTCTTCTCGGAGCCTCAGTTAGCCTATCTGTAAAATGGTGGATCACCCAGTCCTGGCCCAGAAATCGTGGTAGCAGGAACCAGAAGGTCTGAGATGAAAGCTCTACAGCTATCCACCAATCGAACCCAATAAGCTTCACTCGCTACCTTTTAATTTTTATCCTTGATTCATTCGACTGATGTTTATCAGATGGCTGGGACCACCCCTCCCCATCTGTCTGATAGAGTGACCTAGAGAAGTTAGTTTTCGGAGCCTCAGTTTCCTCATCCGTAAATTGGAACCGACAGCAACAGGACCCACTCACTTCACTGGGCTGTGGGAGGAATCAAGAAGAACAAAATGTGTCCCTGGCGTACTGCTGAGGTTCAGTAAGTGGCTAGAAAATGGGCTCAAACCTAGGAACGGTTGAGAGGAAGGCGCAGGGCCAGGCAGTGTTTCGTTCTATTGTACACACTGTCGCTATGAGTCCAAAGCCGTCCCCGAGGCCACCCAGCGTTGCACGGTGCTGAGGCTCACCTCGGGCAGCTGCTCCAGCACTTGTTCCAGCAGGCGCGCGAAAGGCGCCAGGCGCTCCACCCTGAGCTGCAGCCGCGCGCGCTCTCGCTGTAGCTCCTCCAACTGGGCGCGCAGCCGCAATGCCTCCGCCTCCTGGCGGCCGGCGCGTTGCCGCTCCTCCCTCGCCCTGTTCAGCACGCGGCTACGCCGGGCCTCAGAATCCTGGATGCAAGCCAGCGACAGCGAGCCTCAGGGTTCTGTTTGCGGAGCTCGCTGCCTCCCCGACAGACAGACCAGGAGCCAAATTCAGCTAGGGTGTCTGATATAGGTCCTTCACATCCCCCCCTCTGTTTTAAAAAATACTGCAAGCTATGCATATATACTTCCCACCACTCTTTAGTAGAAGGGGCTTCAAAAAGTTTGCGGGGGGAAAAAATAAAAAAGAAATTGAAAGATAATGAAATGTTTGCACACATTTTTGGATGACCCTTCATATTACTAAGCCCATTTCTTTTATTTAAGTGACTTGTCTGGCCCCTAACAGGGTTTTGAGTTTGTGAGCCTTTTGATCCATCCTCCTCCTCATTCATTCCTCATCTACCTGTAAGAACTTGTCAAAACGGAAAAAGGACCCCTTTAGCTCCTGCTCCTTCTGTTCCAGCTGTTCCCTGCGCTGCTGCAGGGCTGCCATCTTGTTCTGGAATATCTGTATGTGACAAGAGGTGTGTGTGTCTGTTTGAAGGTGCAAGTCAACTTGGGGGGCTTAGATTCACACTTAACTCCTTCCCTCTATTGTCCCTGTTCTTGTCCCTGCCACCCCAGTCAAACTTATTTTAGTCCAGGATAAAGCCCAAGCGTCTCCGGCCACCATGGGCTCCCTGCCCTTCTCTGGGCTCACCTCACCTTCTGTCTTATCTGACTTGACCTCTCTACTTTGTCTTCACCGTCAGAACTTTGCACATGCTGTTCCCTCTGTCTGTTTCTTTCTCTTCACCCAGCCCACTAAGCTGGATAAGCTGACTTGCCCTTCAGCAATTGGCAAGGCATCACTTCTTCCAGAAAGCCCTCCTTGACTACTCCTGTGTGTTGGGGCTTCCTCTGGGCTCCCACAGTTCTTGCCCAGTGCTTTCCCCATCATGGCAGTCACTACCAAGACACGTGTCAGTCTTCCTTTCTAGACTGTGATGTCCATGAGGACAGGTGCGACCTCTAAAGCCCAGTCCATAGAAGGTATTCAGTGCATGAATGCTGGTTTGCATCAGTGACTGATCACTTGATCTCCATTTCACAGATGAGAGCGCTAGCAGCTAGTAACTTGTGTCTATCCCTTCCCACCCCTCTTCTAACTGCCCAGTCCACCACTCCCATATTTTGTCTGGTGCCCCAACGAGTCTCAGGAGCCAATGGTTCACCTCTTTCTGTGCTTTCAGGCCTCTGTCTGCGTCTGCCAGCTCTTGCCTCTTCTCCAAAAGCCTCAACACCCGGGGGAAGTGATGCACATCCTGCTCTAGAATCTTCCTGGGGGGCGGGAGGGGGTGAGGCAAGGAAGAAGTGGAGGTTAGGGAGGCAGGAGTCCCCCTCAAATTCCTCACAGCATGAGGGAGGCGAGCCCTCAGACTTAACTCCTTCCCAGATAGTGTGAGTGATTTAATCTCAGCTCCATGTTAGCAGGTTGGAGACTCGGACTATAGGTCCAGCACTAGCTCTGATTTCCTTGGGGAAGCTCAGAGTTTCTCTCTGACCCCTCAGTTTCTTCTTTGTGAAGTAGGCCAACAACTCACAGTGATCTGTCCCAGGAAGCCAGAACTCAGGAGTGGATTAGGGGCTGCACCATCCCACGTGCTCCTGCCCTTCCTCCAGTTCACTCCTCCGCTGTAGTCCACTCACCTCGGCAGCTTCTCTTGTAAGGCCAGGCGGAAGTATTCCTTCCAGGGCACGGCCATGCTCCAGTCTGCACTGGTTAGGATTCTGCAAATGCTTCGGACGGGGAGTTTGCTCAGTACTCCCAGAAGGCAGTGAGCAAGCCTGCCCAGGTTGCCTGGGCAACCATAGACACAACATTCCATTTCCTGGCTGAGGTATAGGGAGGGGCCCTTGGAGAGGGAATCCTTGAATTCTGGATCTGAATCAGGGGACCTCTCTTGCCTCATTTGAGGCCTCAAGCCCTATCTGGTTAAGGTTAGTATTAGGGGTAGGGGTAGGTGTAGGGTTAGGTTTAGGGTTATAGTTATGTAGGTGTAGAGTTAGGGGTAGGGTTAAGGTTAGGGAAAGAGTTATGGGCAGGGGTAGGCTGAATGTAGGATAGGGTTAGTGTTAGGGTTAGTTTTAGGGATATGGTTAAGTACAGGGTTAGTGTTAGAGTTAGGGGTAGGGGTATAAGGCGATATGAGTCGGAACTGACTCCACAGCACAGCACCACCATCACCACCATATCTAGAAAAAGAATGATGTGGAATTGACATAGCAACCCAGAATAGGCAAGGATTTTCCAAAAGAGCTTTGCAAGCAGGCTGAGAGAGAGCAACAATCTGGCCTGGAGGAGGAGAGCAGGGGACTCCAGGAATGATCCATAGAAAGAGTATGATTACTCAGACAGAAACTGTTTAGACACACATTTTATGAAGTACATTGAATGGGGAGGAGATAGTCTCTTCAATAGAAGGAGCTGGCAGAACTGGAAATTGATATGAAAATGATTGAAACAAGACCTTTATCTCACACCATATACAAAAACCAACTCAACAAGGATTAAAGACCTAAATGTGACTCCCAGAATTTTAAAGATCATCAATGAAAAAATAAGGACAAATTTAAGGGCTGTAATACAGGGCACACATATACTACTAAACATTGTGAGGATTGCACAAACAAAAGAAGACAAAATAGATGATTGGGACGTACTAAAAATTAGAACCTTATGTACATCAAAGGATTTCACCAAAAGAGTAAACTGGGAGCCCACAGAGGGGGAAAAAGTCTTTTGTAACAACATATCAGACAAGGGATTAATTTATAAAATTTATACAAAACTACAACACCTCTACAAGAAAAAGACAAATAACCCAGTTAAAAAATGGGCACAGGACATGAACAGACACTTCAACAAGGAAGACATTCGGGCAACCAACAATCATATACAGAAATGTTCACTATCATTAGCCATTATTGTTGTGGTTATTAAGTACCCTAGAGTTGGGTTCCGACCCATAGCAACCCTGTATAGGGTTTCCAAGGAGCAGCTGGTGAACTTGAACTGCAGGCCTCCAGGTTTAAAGTGGACTTTGCAGTCCAGCGCATTAACCAATAATGAGATACCATCTCACACCAGCAATAACAGCGAAGTTCAAAAAAGCAGAGGGCAATAAATACTGGCAAGGATGTGGAGAGACTGGGACCCTCTTACATTGCTGATAATAATGCAAAATAGTCCAACCATTCTGGAAATGGTATGGTGCTTCCTCAGAAAGTTGGAAATAGAAATATCTTATGACCCAGCAATTCCTTTACTTGGCATAAATCCACAAGAAATATGAGTCAGAATATGAATAGATATATACACACCAATGTTTATTGTAGCACTATTCATAGTAGCAAAAAAAAAAAAAAAGGAGACAGCCTAAGTGCCCACCAGTGGAAGAATGAATTAACTGTGGTACATACACACAATGGAATATTATGCTACCTTGAAGAATAACAAGGAAGCTGCAAACTACCACATAACATGGATGAACCTTCAGGACATTATGCTGAGAGAAATCGGTCACTCACAAAAGGACACATATTGCTTAAGACCATTATTGTAAAAGCTTAAGAAAAGATACCCATAGTAAATGAAAAGAAAAAAAAATTTTTTGTTGGTTACCAGGGGTGGGAGGGAGGGGATGGATACTAGAACACAGGGGAGGGGATAGACACATCATAGTTCAGGTTTTGGGGAGGGCAATACACAAGAAGAGGGAGGGGAATGGAAGAACAAGGTAGATAGGGGAACACTGAGGCAGGTTTCCATGGGCTAAATCAGACAGAGGTAAATAGTGATGTATGCTCAACCTTGAAACAACAGGGCTCTGTGATACAGGGATTGAAGCACAGTCTGAATGGGTAAAAGAGGGGAAATAATGTTAAGATGTTTGACTCTTATGAATATTGGTTCCCTTGCTTTCTGTTGTAAAATAGACACTTGAGTGGGACAGAAAGGAATCTCGGGAAACATGATTACAGAAAGCTTGTAAGTCCGTCTTCAGCCTATAACTGATTGGAATACTTAAAAGAGGTGCTAGAACGTGCCAGTGAAATAGGCTTCTTGTGGAGCCTTTGTAGTGTATAGGACCTTAGGTGGAATCCTGAGCCCCTTCCAGAACCTTCTGAGCTGGGACAAATATTACTTGAAAGGACACGCAGATCAGCCTGGAGCGGCTAGAGGAACAGAAGACACTTCTTGAAAGAAAGACCAGTAGGAAAAATCGAAAACAAAAACAGCAGTCTGATTGGCTACAATCAAGCAAGTTGTTTGCAGAGGAGCCATCAAGGCAAGCAATTAAGTCCTTCAGGACAAACCCTTCTCCAAGACTGAAACACAAAGGGAACACACAGGTAGCCACATAAGCTTGCTGGTGACAAGTTGGTCTACTGGTGAGTGGAAGAGGGGAAAAGGCAGCAATGGAGATATGGGCTAAGTTCAACCACGTTCCATAGATTTCCATCGACCTGGAGATGAGAGAGAGAAGAGGAAGGGCTGGTTGGTCTGAAGTGTGGTGAGACCCGAGGACTCCTAAGCCCATGGACAAGGACCTAGCCACAGAGGGTTAGAGCTCAGAGCGAAGCATCTAGCTGATATGAAGTGAGGGGAGATGCACAAGAATGCCCAAACTTGCAAATAGTACCCATTTAACCTAGCTTCCATGGCTTGATGATCAGAACTTGAATAGAGGAAGATAAAGAAATTTGATAAAGGAAGCAAGTGTAAATTGCTACAATTTGATAAACTTGACCATACTAATGGATGTAGTAGCTGGAAATACCAACTGAGAGGGAAGGAGTCTTCATATCAAGGATCAAACCTATTCCCTCTGTACACAGAGTTGATAGGTACAAGCAACTTAAACATTGGCTACCTAAAATGGGGTTGAGGTGCTATAAGGCACAAGAAGTCCTGTTGTGTGTTGTGGGTTAATGTGCCAGATTGCAAAGCCCATTTGAACTGCAAGGTCGGCAGTTCAAGCTCACCAACTGCTCCTCGGAAACCCTGTACAGGGTTGCTATGGGTCAGAACTGACTCGTTGGCACTTAAAAACAACAACAAATAAGGCACAAAGTGGCTTAAAAGTTTTCAAGAGGGCGTTTTGTTTCAGAGTGTGCAGGGGATGATAGAATCTGAATAGTTTTCATCTTGTTTAGATAGGTCTGGTGAAAGGAGATTGGAATATGATTCTTATGATTCAATAGTGAGTAACTTTTATCAAGGTGAATTGCAATTGTCACAACTGCAAAGGTAGAAATTTTGTAACAAAAAGGGAAGGAGTAGTTAATCTTACAGTCCAGGATCAGAGTATCCTAGGACCATCAAGGGAGAAGAGTATGAGTTGAATATGGGACCCTATCCAGAGAAGCAGCAACACCAGAGATGGAGGCAGAGATGAGGACATGGAGAAATAGAGCAGCTGAGGGCTCTAGACTCATGGAAAGAGAAAGGCAGAATGTGTCCTTTGATTATTTAAATGATTATTTATTCCTGAGTGTTTCTGAGTGCAAAACCAATATTCTTCCATGTACACTATCATTCAATTAGTAATAAAAGCTTGTTAATTATAATTATAATTAATATTTTAAAAATAATTGTAATTAATATAAATTATATTAATTATAATTATAATTAATAATAATAATAAACAAAAACAAAAGCAAAAATGAAAACAAAGGCCAGTGCTGATCCCTCAGTTCCACACCAGGTTGATGTTAAGTGCCTTTGAGTTGTTCCGACCCAATTGGGACACCTATATACAAATGAACAAAACCCTGCCCGCTCCAGCACCATCCTCACAATTCCTTCTATATCTGAGCCCACTGCTGCTGCCACATTGCCAGTCCAGGTAGTTGGAGGTATCCCTCTTTTTCACTGTCCTTCCACTTTACAAAGCATGATGTCCTTCTCCAGCTCCCTCTTGAATGATATTTTGGACATATAAGAGAAAAAGTCTGGTCATCTTGGCTTCTAAGGAACATTCTGGTTGTACTTCTTCCAACACAGATTAATTTGTTCTTCTGGCAGTCCATGGTACCTTTAAAATTCTTCGCCAACAATCCATCTCAAATTTACCAATTCTTCTGTGGGTTTCCCTATTCACTGTCCAGCTTTTACATGCATATGAGACTATTGAAAATACCATGGTTTGGGTCAGGCGCACTTTTATTCTCAAACCAACAACTTTGCTTCTGAACACTTTAAAGAGATCTTGTGCAGCAGATTTGCCTAATGCAATAGCCATTTGATTTCTTCAGTTCTGTGGGTCCCAATAAAATGTAAATATGATTTAAAATGCACATTATAAAAATACATTTTAATATATTGAAAAAAAGAAAAAAGAAAAAAGAAAAGAAGAAGGCTTTATACCACCTCTCTGAGATCTCTCTAAAAAACATTAAAATGAAATCTTATGGCCTCAGTTCCACAACCAAATTTAAAATCTCAGCAGCTTTGCTCTCTGGCACAATTTGGTTATACTTTGGTGAAGCGGTTTTCCATAAAAGATTGGGAAGTTATCTCTGTCAGATGGGAAGTTTATTCATAAAACCAGTGTCCCATAGGAGAGATGCAGCTATGCTTAACTTTAGCTCCATCTCTGACTAAAAGATGAATTCCTTTTCTGGGAGATTATTTCCTACAGCTCTGAAGATAAAGAAAGTGTATAAACAATTAATGTTCTTCCTTTAAATAAATCATACA